TTATCATTGTTGTTTAGCAGGCCCCAGCCAGGCTCAAACCTGCCAGCTTGGGTATATGTGGCCGGCGCCCTACTCACTGAGCTACGGATGCCAAACCAATGATTACTTTTTTTTAGTCCATGCCCATGCTATGGGGCAGACTAAATCACTAGGGTAAAAGAATGCCCCCAGTATAATGGCAGAGACTAGCCCCAGCAGGATGAGCAAAGGCTGTGTGGCCAGTGAAGGGAGATAGAGGACAGAGGTATGAGGGTTGAAGACAGGCCTCAAGTGGTGAGGATACAGGCTGAGACTTACCCTGGCTGAGGCCCCACAAACCCATCTCCTGTCGCTCTTGTGGAGGCACGCTAGGGCTGTGCCAGTATGTGCAGGCAGGCTGGGTACTGGACCTGTACACATGAGGCATGTGTAGGTACACACATGTGCCTGTGTTCCTGACACCAATGTGCATGTGTGTGTATACATGATCAGAGCTAGGATGCAACTATGGGGCCCATTGGTACATGTCTCAGCCAGTGCCCACTCTGACCTGAGGGGGTGTCTGTTTAGTTCAGGTGGGTATCTCGAACCACCCGCAGCACGTGTGTGACTCTTCCCCCTCTGTCTACGCAGCCTGCCCTCAGACAAGGACCCAATGCCCAACTCCAGGCCAGCCAAGCCTCTGGCCCCTTCCTTGGCCCTCAGCCCATCACCAGGAGCCTCACCCAGCTGGAGAGCTATGCCAAAGCCCTCAGACCTGCTGGGGGCCAGGAGCCCAGGGGGAACCTTCCAGGGCCGAGACCTCCGAGGCCAGGCCCATACCTCCTCCTCAGCCTTGAACCCCATGCCACCATCGCAGCTGCAGGTGAGGTCCGGGGCCCAGGATGGGACAGGCAGGGTGGGGTACCTGGGCCTACAGGTGCCGACCTTTACTGTGCACTGGGTGGGAGGGGGGCCTGGCTGGGGCACAGGAAGTGGTTTCTGGGTCCCAGGCAAGTCTGTGACTTATGCAGATGTCACAGGGCCAAGAAAGTCCCCACTTGCCAGTCCTAAGAAATTGGAGGCTCTCCCCAACCTCCCAATCCCTGTGTCAGGAGAGGAAGAGAACCTAGTGTGATCCCTTGGGCATAGCCATGTGTCCCCATCCCTGTGTGACAAGAGAAGAGGGCTGAGGCCCAAGGAGGTGAGGTGACAAAGTTGAAGCCAGCTCTGCCATGTGTTAACTGTTTGATCTTGGAAAAGTGACACAATCTCCACAAGCCTCAGTTTCCACACATGAGAAATGGGAATGATCATAGTACCTACCATGTGGGAAGTATTTGAATGAGATACAGGACAATGAGGATGAAGGTGGCATCTCACCTGCCTGCCTTTCCCCTCCGCAGCTGCCCACAGTCCCCCTAGTCATGGTGTCACCCTCTGGGGCACGACTGGGCCCCCTGCCCCATTTGCAGGCACTCCTTCAGGACCGACCACACATTATGCACCAGGTATGGGCCATGAATGGGCAGAAAGATGGGAGAACTGTGGGGAGGGTCCCCAAACCAGACTGAACCACAGCCCATATGTATCCCCAGCTCTCAACAGTGGATGCCCACACCCGGACCCCTGTGCTGCAGGTGCACCCGCTGGACAGCCCAGCCATGATCAGCCTCCCACCACCCCCTGCCACCACTGGGGTCTTCTCCCTCAAGGCCCGGCCTGGCCTGCCACCTGGTAACACCTCAGCATGTACTCCATGGCTCATAGAACCCCAGAGTTCCCAAATCCTCGAACGTGAGCAACACAGGCTGTTCTGAACAGCAGCCCCCTGGAAGTCAGAGGTGTCAGGTGTCAGAGACTCGGAAACTCCAAACTCCAAAAAATGTCAAGCTCAGAACCCTAAAGATGCAGAATGTCAAATTCACAGAACCACAGATCTTAGTCAAAATGTCAGCACTTGCAAATGACAGTCCTTTGACTGATCTGCCAGAGCCTAGGACTTGTGGGACAGCAGAGTCCTCTGGGAGTTGAACCTTTGAAGCTTAGGAGGGTGGGAAGCTCAAAATGAGAGGCCTTGTGGGCCAAGCTTCAGAGGTACCCTGTCCCCACCAACAGGGATCAATGTCGCCAGCCTGGAGTGGGTGTCCAAGGAACCAGCACTGCTCTGCACCTTCCCAAGCCCTAGTGTACCCAGAAAGGACAGGTCAGTGGACAGGGCTGGGAAGGACCCTCACCCTGTTATTGCCTCCCCTGACACCTTCTGTCCCCCCAGCACCCTTTCGGCCGCACCCCAAAGCTCCTACCCACTGCTGGCAAATGGCGTCTGCAAGTGGCCTGGATGTGAAAAGGTCTTTGAAGAGCCAGAGGACTTCCTCAAGTGAGTGGCCTGAGCCTGTGCCAGTCCAGGGAGTCCTAGTTTGTGGGAAGGGGTCTGGCATGCAGATATCAGCTCCGGCCTCATCCTGATAGGTAGTAAAATGAAAAAGGTAAATGCTGGGACTGTGGGTTCAAATCCCAACTCTAGCACTCACTGGCTATGTGACCTTGGGCAAGTTACTCAGCTTCTCTGGACCTCAGTTTCCTCTTATGTATAATGGGGTATAATAATAAAAGTATGTACTGTTATGTACCTCCATTTTATAGGAAAAGGAAACTGAGGCCAAAGAGATTAAGTGTCTTAATCAAGATCACCCAGGTCCTGAGTGACAGAGCTAGGATTTAAACCCAGGCACCCAGGCTCCAGAATCCACACTACTAACTGCTTTGCTCTGCTGCTCCTCATGCCAGCACACCAGTCTGATTCATTGATCTCCAACATCCCAGCCCCTCTAGATAGCTGTTGTTGCCTCCCTTCATCCCCATCTCTCACATAAACACACCCCTTTTCCAACCATACTTAACTATTATTAGCAGCCGAGCATGTCCTGTCCTTCTTCTAGCCAGGCATTCATGCAGGCTATCCCCTCCACTTGAACGCCTTTCCTGTTCTCACCTGCCTGGCCCACTGTCAGCTAACCACCCTTCCAACATCATCTCAGGGGGTAAGCTCAGGCCTGGCACACAGTGAGTGCCAAGTGACATGTGTTGAAGGAATGACAGGTTTGAGAAGGAGACAGAGGTCGAGAGGGGAGGGGAGCTAAGCCTCTGAGGAGAGACCTCCCAGGTCTGGGACATACCCAACAGGAACACTGAGCCAGACCAGGCCTGTCATGGTTACCTGCATGGACTCTTCCCCCTACTAGGCACTGCCAGGCGGACCATCTCTTGGATGAGAAGGGCAGAGCACAGTGTCTCCTCCAGACAGAGGTGGTACAATCACTGGAGCAGAAGGTAATGCCTGATGGGATAGGGGATGGGGTACAAAGCTTCTGTCCACTCTATGCCAGGAACCAGGGTTGGCATAAATGAGGAACCAGGATAGGGCACCTGGTAACACCTCAGCATGTACTCTACGGCTCATAGAATTGCAGAGTCCCCAAATCCAGGGAAGATCAAGCCCAGACAAAGATGTGGTGGGAAAAGGGTGAATTGAGGCCTCACTTTTGTGCCCATCCTCACAGCTGGTGCTGGAGAAAGAGAAGCTGGGTGCTATGCAGGCCCACCTGGCCGGGAAAATGGCACTGACCAAGGCACCATCTGTGGTAAGCAACCTCAAGCCCATAGGCAGCAGACTTGGACTGTGGGGGTCGGGGTGGGGAGTGGAGGAAACCCTGCAGGGAATCTATCCTCACATGTGATCCCTGGGATCTGTGGGTTCCTCTCTCCAGCTCCAAACATGCTGAGACCTAGAAATCTCCCCCCTCCACTTACAAACCCTCTGGCCCTAAGATCCTGAAGCATTGTGATCCTGAGTTTTCAAAGCAAAAAGAAATAGACAAACACTGACCAAAGACAGTGTGCCAGCAGGACCAGCTACCTAAACTGCAGGGCCCTGTGCAAACTGAAAATGCAGGCCCCTTTGTTCAAACTTTAAGACAGTGACTTCAGAGCATTAGAGCATGAGGTCCTGTGTAACCATAAGGATCACATACCCATGATGCTACCCTGGGTGCCAAGCACTCTTTGTGAGCACTTTGCTGGTGTTAATTTATTCAGTTCTCATGATGCCACTGTGAGGTAGGTACCACTATCATGTCCATTTCACAGATGAGGAACACTGAGGTGGCCAGCGAGGTATAGGTGACATTCCCAAGTCCACCCAGTTGGGTGGTAAACGAAACTGATTCAATCCCAGTCCATAGCCCCAGCATTGGCGGCTGCACACAGTGTCCACACCCACACTCTAATAAATACAGCTCATGCTGCTTCGTGGGGTTCCACACCAGACTGGAATTGAGGGTGCCCTTACTTTTAAAAATAATGATTTAAAAATAAAGTGGAAAGTTTAAGCCTCTGAGTCACCAGCCTCTCTCTCCTCTGCCAGACATCATCTGACAAGGGCTCCTGCTGTCTTGTAGCTGCTGGCACCCAGGGCAGCGTTGTTCCAACCTGGCCCAGCCCCCGAGAGGCCTCTGACAGCCTGTTTGCTGTGCGCAGGCACCTGTGGGGCAGCCATGGAAACAGCACATTCCCAGGTAAAAATGGCCCTTGCCCTACACAGTAACTCCAAGCTCCAAATCCTGACCGATACTTGGGGGGCTGGGAGGGGATACAAAGTGGCTCCACCACTTAACCAGCTGCATTTTTTGATGTGCAAGTTACTTCACTTCTTTTAAACCTCGGGGAGAGCTATTTGGGCAGGAATGGTGCAAACAGTAAGTGATACAACATGTGTCAAGTGACCGGAAAACAGTCCTGTGACCACTGACACTGGTACTGATGGTAGGACTTCACGGGTGTAGACTCACACTGTGGTGGGGGCAGGGAGGTAGAGGTCCTGGATGTGATGGGGCCTGATTTGTCCCCACCTCTGACAGACTTCTTCCACAACATGGACTACTTCAAGTTCCACAACATGCGGCCCCCTTTCACCTATGCCACCCTCATCCGCTGGGTAAGCAGGACAGCTCATCCCCAAGGGGGGGGGCTAGCCTCCCAAACACCCAACTTCCTCTGGGAACCTCTGAATTGCTCCTCCATTCACAAGCCCCAGCCCTGAGAAGCCCAAGCCACACTTCAAATGTGATACCTGTGCTGGCTTCACCCTAAACTTGTCCCTGAATATAAACCTAAACCTCCATCCAGGCCAGTGCATGCCAAACTCTGACCCTAATCCTACCCTTTTCCAGATGCCCACCTCAACCCCATACCTAACCCTCTTCTAGCCATATAAAATAACCCAAAATTTACCCCATGTTTGCCCCTTGCCATAAGCCCATCCCAGCTATTACTCTATCTCCTTCTCCAGCCTTTATGGCAACTCAACCCCATGCCTTCCCCAGCACCAATGTATTCCAGTACGTGAGCCCACGCCCCAGCTGGATCCCGTCCTTCACCCTTCCATACAACACCTACCTGACCCTTAACCTCAGTCCATTCCAACCCCTTTATCTCAGCCTCCCAGAACCTTTATCCAGCCCCATACCTAAGCCCAAACCTGAACCTAACCCCAACTGTGAACCCCTATATAATGCCAGCTCTTCACTCAACTGTCTCTGAACTGAACCCCAGCCTAGCCCCATCCTGACTTATAATTGCAATCATAATCACTGACTTATCAATCTGATTCCTAAATCCACACAAATCAAATTCCCTGACCCTCAGCCTCACTCCACATCTAACCTACAACTGATCTCACTCTCGTCCCTGAATTTAACCACCTACCACATCCTGGACATACAAAACACTCCATAACTAGGCCCATTTCTGACTCCTGACCTAATACCATGTGTCATCCTATCCCTCCCCTCTACCCCAGGCCACCCCGAAGTCGGACTCTTAACCAATCCCTTCCCTGACCCCTAACCCAGCCTGGCTCTTGACTTCTTCCAGACCCTTGACCACACTCCTGACCTCTGACCTTCTCAAACCCTGAAATATCACCCCTACAGAGAACCCCAACTCCTACTCCATCCAGACCTTGAACCTCAGTCTAGCCCTAACCCTGAATATGACCCCACTCCTAAACTCACCTCTGATTCTTTGCCTAATCTCAACCTGACCATACCTACCCCACATCTAACCCTGTCCTGACCCCATACCTCACACAGCTAACCTTGTCCCTGATCCTTCACTCTGCACCATCTCTCTCCCTCTCCTCTACCCACTACCACAATTTCCGCCTCGATGTCAGACTACCCAGGGTAGGCCACTGCCCCCTTCAGCCCTGACTTTGGAAGAACACACCTCTTACCCCTACCCCCACCTTCCAGGCCATCTTGGAGGCTCCTGAGAAGCAGCGGACACTCAATGAGATCTACCGCTGGTTCACACGTATGTTTGCCTACTTCAGAAACCACCCTGCCACCTGGAAGGTAAGCTCCTCTGGAGGTGGCAGTGGCTGGGATGGCCTTGAGTGCCACTGCAGCTAGAGAGTGGGTGGATCTGGGGCAGGAGGTTGGTTGTTGGCAGGGGCTGCTGACCTCAGAATGACTGCCCACCTGCTCCTGCACCCCTGCCGTTCTACAGAATGCCATCCGCCACAACCTGAGCCTGCACAAGTGCTTTGTGCGGGTGGAGAGCGAGAAGGGGGCTGTGTGGACCGTGGATGAATTCGAGTTCCGAAAGAAAAGGAGCCAGAGGCCCAGCAGGTGTTCCAACCCTACACCCGGCCCCTGAGTGCAAGACCAAGGAAACAAAGGAAGGAAGGACAGGCCAAGATGGGGGCAGAGGTGGATGGTAGCAGGGATGACAGATCATGGACATACCCATAGGAAGTGTCCACTGTCTTGCCTGCCAGGGCCCTGCTCCCCAGCCAACAGCCCTCCTGGATCATACCTCTGCCCCCAGGTTTCTCGGAGGGGTCCCATTTCCAGCCCTAGCCCCCACCTTCACCCTGCCCTGCCCTACCCCTGATGGGACCTCCAGCCAAAAGGAGCCTTCACAATCAGCCACATACACAGCCTGTCTCAGCCACTCTCATAGATGATCTCAGGGCTGGAAAAGTCACACAGATAAACAGACTGTTAGAATCCTGGTCCCTGGTCATAACACAAACCCCCAAATACAGAGAGCCTGCCTCAGTACATTCAAATGACCTCAAAGCTGCACAGTCACATAAACAAGCACACATGAGCACAGTCCTGTCAACTCTCATACCCCAAAGCACATACCCACAGCCAGCCTTGTGGGTCATAGGCAGTGTCACATAGGGGTGTGCCCAGACACCAGCACTGAAGCATCAGTACCCTCAGGATTTCAGGTCCCAGAAAGCCACACAGACATAATTGCTCATACAGGGTCTCATGCAGCTCATCTGCATTCATCCTCATCTCACACTTATACACACACCCCGTCCCCCAGTGGATCCCCCAAGTCCCATGCAGACACATACAGCCACACACACTCTTGCAAAAACATACCCCGTCTCCCCGGCCACCCACCTTGTGCCCCCACCCTGAGCCTCGATCCATGCCTCAGCTTCCACTGCAGAAGCGCTCCTCATTTATTTGAGATTCAAGGCCCCATACCCCAGTACGCTCCCCAATAAACTGCAGCCAAGCTCCCAAAGGCCAGATGATCACCCTAGATGAGGGTTGGGCCAGGCGGGCAGGATTCTGGGTCCAAGGCTGCAGTGAGAGGAACTGGACAAGAAGCAGAGGGAATAGGGAGGATAGGTACTTGGCCACCACCTCCCATACCCCAAATCCCTGCCCAAGTCTGGGGAGATTTTTCTTCTGGGAGTTCCTCAGGCCTCCCGGACCCGGCCCAGGAGGCCAGCATTCTCCTGGCGAAGGGCTCGGTAGTCCTCACGGATCTTCTCCAAGTTGCTAAGGGTCTTCTTGCCCATCTCTGTCTCGATCTAAGGCAATGTGAACATACCCCCTCAGCACACAGGCCCTTCTCCCAGTTTCTGTTTGCTGCACCCCATCACAGCCACTGTGAATGGACCTCTCCCACCCACCCTCAGCAGCAGCCTGTTCTGTCCCTTGCCAGGCCTTTGCACAAGGCATTCCCTCCACCTAAAGCATCCTTTGCTACGTGGCAAGTTTCCCTACCACATCTTCAAGCTGAAGCTTCTGCCAATGGCCCTGGGAGGCAGGCATGAAGGCTCTCAGGGTAGAGGCTTGGTCACGGAGTAGGCCACTTGTCTGACCCAGATCACCAGCAAAGGCATTAAGGGGCAGGACTAAGCCTCTAGCTGTAGGCTGTGTCTGGTTCCATAGCCTTTCAACATGAACTGAAGAGCTGGCCCCTGGCCTGTCTTGGTTCTCCCTCCCATCCCCAAGCCTCACCTGCTCCTCAAGGTCTCGAACCTCCCTCATGATAGTGCCTGTGTCCTCAATGGTCTGGATGAGCTGGCTGCAGTTCTGGGGACAACAGGAGCAGAAGGCTTGTACTCAACCCCCCACTGCCCCTGCTAGCCCCCCAAGTATGCTTCTCCCCTTACCTCATGCAGGGCAGCTAGGTACTTGTAGGCCTTCCGAACGGCATCATCCTTCTTGGCATCCTGACCACACAGAGGGGACCTTGAAGGTATCAGTGGGTTGTCTCTGCCCCCAAACCTCTTAAGCCCTCATAAGGGTATCCTCTCCCACCCACCCACCCTCCAACTGCACCTTACATGGAACAAAGCTAGGCCCAAGCATCAGTGTACCTGCCAGGCTCACACAGGGCCTGGGCCCATGCCAACCTGTGGGCACATGGGCAGGCAGCAACCCAGCTCCACCCCACTCCTCACACCCACCCTGGCCTGCCCCACACCTTGAACACAAGTTCATCAGTCACCGCAAACGTCCGGTCCAGCTTCCCAGAGAGAGAGTTGATTTCCTTCTGAAGTTCCTTTGTGTCAGACAAGATCTGGCAGATACCAGGACAGCCATGAGCCCATGTCTGGGGCAGGGTGGCTGGCCACCTGAAAGTACTCAGGTGCATTCACTCACATCCAGACAGGGCCTGCGTCACTGTCAAGGGTGGCTAGGGTACACTTTGTGTGACTGCTCTGTGTCAGGGGTGGCTAGGGTAGACTGTGAGTGACTGTGCTGTGTCAGGGTATGGCTGGACAACTTTGCCCATCAGAGGGTGTGAGGTCCCCATGTGGCCACACTATGCATGTCTCCCCATATGAGCCATCTTCCATGACCACAGTGGCACACCTTGGTGATCTCTTCCTTCTGCTTCCGGATGTTGCCCACAATTTCCAGGATGCGCTGGGTGTAGGCTAGTCGGGACACATCTCTGGGCAGAGTCTCCAGCTCTGATACCTAGATAGAGACACAGTAGGCACTCCTCTGGGACCTGTCCCCCACCCACTGGAGCTGCCCAGATCTCCCACATGGGCCTTACCAACTGCTTATAGATTTCCTCCTTCCTGCGGGCCTCTTCAGCTGCCGCCCGAACACTCTGGTGTAGTTCCTGGATCTCTGCCAGCCGTCGAGAAGATTCCAGCTGCCAGAAGCCAGTGAGCAGAGCACAGGGATGGCCATCTAGGGAGGGCCCAAACCTGCCTCTTTCCCACCTATGGCCCAGGACCCCACCACCTACCTCTCTGCAATCCTGGAGTTTTCGGAGGTGGCGGTACTCAGCAAGGAGCGGGACCCGGTGCTTTTCCCACTGTCCCGCCAAATGGATGACCCGTTGGGCACTACTTTCCACCACAAGCTGCCAGTTCGAGGGGGGGCATGTTACACAACCAAGCCCTTCTAGCCCTGCCCTACCCCACCACTCTCAGTCTTACCTGCAGCTTGGCGAGGTTTGCAGCCCCATCAGGTAGCAGCTCCACCGCCCGGCTCTTCAGGCGCAGGGTCTGCTCACGCTCCACTGTGCTGAGCTCGCTCTGCCGACACTCAGTCTCCACCTGCCAAAACAGCCCCAGCTGAACCCAGAAAGCCCTGGCACAGCCAGCATGAGGCCCACAGATGGCTATATGCCCCCCCAGTCCCTAAGGACTCTCTGACCTCTCCAGTTCCATGTAGAAGCCCAGGGACACTGAGGAGCCCTACAAGCCCCTGCCTATACAGACACACCTTGCCCCATAGATGCCCCCGGACCCTCAGAAGCCTGATGATCCTCACAGCCACCTACAAGGCCTGACTAATGCACATAGGTGCCTCTAACCCTAACCCCTAAAGGCCTACCCACACCCACATGCCCTCATCCCCGCTGATTATCCTGAACCCTTAAGAGCCCTACATGGTCTCCAATGTCCCCTATGATCCCTTCTGTGCCCTAAGACAGGGCACCTTTCAGCCACCTCGAATCCCTCAAACCCTCCTGGGCCCTACTTCTGACCTGACCCTGCCTACAGTCCCTCCTCCCACCTGCACAAAGCTGATGCCCAGTGTCTTCATGTCAGCTTCAACCTCTTCGATGTTGCGGTTCACTCCCTCCAGCTGCTCCCGAAGGGACTCTAGCTCCTGTTCTTGAGCTTCCCACGTGTCCTGGGAGGCACAGGCTAGTCAGGTGGGGGTTTCAGGTCCAGCAAATAGGCAAGAGCCAAGACATCACCCCACTACTTTGCTCACCTGTTCAGGCCGCCGAGAGGTGGCTGGCACCTCTGACACCTGGGCTGCCTGGGCCTGAGGCTCCTTGGGGGAGTGAGGAGAGGCATCCTGGCTGTCAGGGAAGGCCCTACCCCTCATGATCCAGCCTAACCCCCACAACCACCCAGCACTATACCCACACGCACACAGCTGCTGATAGCTATGAGACTGACTACATGAGGGTGAAGGCAGTATCTGCAACCTCAGACTAAAGAGTCTGATGATGGAGATACCTTTCTGACCCTGACACAGCTCCTACCCACCTGCCCCTCAATTCCCAAATGTGCATGAGAAGGATGGGGGCCCCTTGAGGTGACCATCCAAGGAAAGAAGATGTGCCCACAGGAAACTGCCCTTTTTGGAAAGGTGGGGTTTGTACCCTATACCCTTACATCGCTGCCACTTGTCTACATTTTGTCCACTAAAGTCCCCAGAAGCTAGGGGACCCCTCTGGACACCACCCTCAGTGGGAAAAGGGCCCACCTGTGGTCACATGGGAACCTGTGTGGATAACAGTACGGTGTTCATACATGAAGTCACCCTCTGAGCCCGCCATGCCCCATCAGTACACCCCATGTCCACTTGGGCCCACCCACCAGCTGGAAGGTGAACTTCTCTGAATGTGTGAAGCGGGAACCTTTGGGAGCACCAGTCCTGGCGCCAGCACCCCAGGACTGCAGTAGCTCGCCCAGGTCTCGGGTTTGTGTGGGGACACCAAGAGAGCCCCAGCTTTGGCGTAGGTGCTCAACCAGGTGCTTCTGCAGCTGCTGCCGCTGTGGCCGTATATCCTCCTATGAAGAGAAGGCAGGAGAAACAGGAGGATGTAGAGGCCTCCCCAGCACAAAGGTCCCACCTTCTCTGGGGCCACAGACAGGTGCTACAGACAACTCACGGCCCTCCCACTGAGGTGCATGCCTGCCTTTCTCTCCTGCCTCACTAGTCTGGGATCTCCCCAAGTACTGGGGTCTCCTGTTGTTCATAGCTACATTTCTCTCCACCCACTCACTCCCCATGCTGGAAAAGGACATGGGAAAATAGAGGAATAAGCCTAGAGCCCTCAATTCCAAAAGTGACACAGAAAGTATATGTGGAGACAAAGCAGAGACAGGGAATCAAAGAAGCCAGGCAAAGAAGAGGGCAAAGTCAGAGAGAGAGGCAACAAAGGGACAAGAACAGGGACAGTTTTGACACAAATGGGGAAATCTGTTTATGAACTCAGTGTTGGATGACATAATGAGATCACTGTTAATTTTGTTAGGGTTGCAAATGGTCCAGTGGTTGTGTTAAAAAAAATGAACATTCTTAGCTTGGCACCTGTAGCACAGTGGTTACAGCACCAGCCACATACACTGAGGCTGGCAGGTTCAAACCCAGCCCAGGCCTGCAAAACAATGACAACTGCAACCAAAAAATAGCCAGGTGTTGTGGTGGGCACCTATAGTCCCAGCTACTTGGGAGACTGATACAAAAGAATTGCTTAAGCCCAGGAGTTTGAGGTTGCTGTGAGCTAAGATGCCATGGCACTCTACCCAGGGCACAGAGTAAGACTCTGCCTCAAAAATAAATAAATAAATAATCTTTTTTAAAAATAGAAAAAAAAAAAAAAGAGATGCAGTCTTAAGTGTTTATAATTGAAATGACATGATGTCCAGGATTTGCTTTAAAAGAATATAGCAGGCCAGGCATAATGGTTCACACCTATAATCCCAGTATTTTGGGAGGTCAAGATGGGAGGACTGCTTGAGACCAGGAGTTCAAGACCAGTCTGGGCAACATAGTAAGACTCTATCTCTATATAAAATAAAATTAGCCAGGCATGGTAGCATGTCTCTGTAGTCCCAGCTATCTGGGAGGCTAAGACGGGAGGATGGGCCCAGGAGGTCAAGGCAGCAGTGAGCTATGGTTGTGCCACTGCACTCCAGCCTGAGCAACAGAGCAAGACCCTGTTTCAAAAAAAAAAAAAAAAAAAAAAAAGAGGGAAAGAGAAAAACATGAAAAAATACAGCAAAAAAGGATAAAGGGGAGAACAGATAAAAAAATATTGGTGGCTTGGCACCTGTGGCTCAAGTGGCTAAGGCACCAGCCACATACACCTAAGGTAGTGGGTTCGAATCCAGCCCGGGCCCGCCAAAACAACAATGACGGCTGCAACCAAAAAATAGCCAGGCGTTGTGCGGGCGCCTTTAGTCCCAGCTACTTGGGAAGCTGAGGCAGGAGACTCGCTTGAGCCCAGAAGTTGGAGGTTGCTGTGAGCTGAGATGCCATGGCACTCTACCCGGGGGGACAGCTTGAGGCTCTGTCTCAAAAAAGAAAGAAAGAAAGAAAGATTGGCAAAATGGTCCATTGGCATACTCTCTTTACTTCTGTGTTTGAAAATTCTTATAAGTTTGAAAAACAGAGACAGAGATAAAGATAGGACAAATGGTACCTAGAAGACAGAGGCAGGCAGAATGAGAAGATACAGAGGAGAAGAAGGGACAGGAACAGAGGGGACAGAGGGAGAGAGCTGAAGTACAGAAACAAGAGTCAAGAAAGAGAGGCAGAAAAACTACAGAAGGGGAAAGAGGGAGACAGGAAGACACAGTGCAGAAACCTAGAGACAGAAAAGATGAGCATCAGCAACAAGTGCAGAGACAAAGTGAACGCCTTTGGGATGGGAAGAAAGCAGAAGAAAAAAGGAAGGTAACAAATCTGAGTGCTGTGGTTGCTGGGAAGTCCATGCTCATCATTCAGTCTAACGACTACCTGGGGAGGACAGTACTATCACTACTCCATTTTCAGAAAAGGAAACTGAGGTACTGATACCGACTTATCCTTGGTTCACATTAGATAGGTGCACACAGAAAAAAAGACGAAAGAGAGGGACAGAGTGGGCAAAGAGAAGAGCAGAGGACCATCCAGAGACAAAATAGGCACAGCAGGAGCCAAGCATCAGGCTGTAACCTGGGCTGGCAGGCGGGGCGCCCGGCGGACCCAGTCCTCATCCCCTGGGCGGTCATGGCCTGTCTGCTGGCAGAGCTGGATGGCATGGTGTTCGAGGAGTGAGGCCACCCTCCCAGCAGGCTGGGGCACCTGGATGGGGGCTGGTAGCAGCAGGGGACTCGCCTGGAACTCCCGTTGCTCTGGAGGCAGGAACAGAGTCAGCCAGCCCTCAGGCAGGGCAATCCCACCAGGCCCACCTCCCCACCTCTTGTAGCCTCCCACTCACCTCCTCTCGAACTCAACTCAGGCACGGCCAGCCTGCTGGCACAGAAAGGCTTCTGGAGGGCGGAGCCCTGGTGGGAGAGCAGAGTCAGAGCCTCGGGATAAAGTGTGACAGTGGTCACTGGTGGGAGGGGGGCAAAAACCTGAGCAACCACACAGAGACAAGGAACGCAAGTCAGGAGCAAGAAAAGATCAATAGGAGTTAGGGACCCTACCTGGAGGTGCTGCAGTTTGGGAGTGCGAAGGAGGGGTGGAACCCAGAGCAGGGCCAGCCGATCCCGGATTTTGCTCCCAATGGCCCTGAGGAGAATAGCTGAGTCACCTAGGGGTTGGGGGAGGGAGTGTTAACCAGATGACAATGCTGTAAATCTAAAACAACATACCCCTGGAAACCAGCCATCACTCCTCACTGCCCCCATCCAGAGATGCATATCTATCCATCTATCATTCTCACAGTCAGTCACTCAACAAACACTGAGCACCTATTATGTACCAGTCATTTATCAGGGAACAAACTGATAAAGGTCCCTGCCCTTCTGGATAATGAATAGGATCATAAGTGTGATCCAGTCATGGCCAGGTAAAGAAGTGAAGGACCATAGGGAAGAGAAGCTGTAATTTACACAAGGCAGCCAGAGGAAGCCCTCCCTGAGGTGATGCAGAAAGGGAAACCTCAAAGAAGTAAGGGAGTGAGCCAATGAGGATATGTGAGGGTTAAAGTAATCCAGCCATACAAGGACCCTGAGCTGGAGTGTGCTTGGTGTGTCTGAGATACACCAAGTAGGCCCAAGGGGTTAGAGTGAAGTGAGCAAGAGGGAGGCCTCTTCCAGCACTGACTTACCACCTGGTTCAGCCCAACCCCCAGGCCCTGCCCCCTGCCCTGAAGCCCCTCTCTAACCCCCCAATCCTCCTACCTAGGTCTCCCAAGACACATGCCTCCCACCATCTATCTGCTCACCCTCCAAACCCCAGAAAGGCCCTCCACTCCCGTCCCCTAACACCCCAGCACCCAGTACCTGCAGGCTGGTCTGCACCCTCAGAGGCATCAGTGGGCAGACGCTCAGCCAGGAACAGAAGCAGGTCCCGGAGGTCAGGTTCACTGGGGTAGAGGAAATTCTGGTAGCCAAGCTCCAAGGGATATCCCAAGTCCTGGAGGTTGGGAGAGGGACAGCCCCATCAGTCAGGTAGGCAGGCTCCTCCTGCCCCGAGTTCCCTGGGCCTAGGCCACAAACTTCCCCCTCTCTCAATAACCACCATCCTCTGAACCTCCCTGGCTCCCCAAGGCCTCCAAGCCCCTGGGAAGAGCCACAGAGAGCAAGAAATAAGGTTAAAGCTCTGGTCTTTCTAACTATGACTCAAAATCCAGGGGTTATAAAAGAGAAGGTCAGTATTTCTGAATACACGAAAATAAATCTTAAAAATTAAGAAAAAATATAATAAGCAAAGTCAAAAGAGGAATCATAAGTTGGGAAAAAAAATTTGGAGTGCATGTCATAGACAAGGAATAAATCTACCTATTATATATGGAATTCCTAAAAATAAACAGGCAAAAAACCAGCAGTACAATAGATCAGAACAAAGAACTCAAAGGGTTCTGGATGGGGACTGGGAAACAGGCTTGGGGAAAAAGAAAGCATTTTTCTGCCAGAGTTGCTAAGGGTCTGGAGCTGTGTGGACTCCGAAAGCAGACCAAACTTCACAAGTTCAAACCCAAGGTTTGCCTCTCACCAACTGTGTGATCTCAGGCAAATCATTTAACCCCCTTCACCTGACAAATGGGATACCAGAGAGTACCTACCTCAAAGCTTGCCATGAAAGTTAAATGAGTTACATCATGTACTCATTACTTAGTTACTAGTAACTTAGTGTTACAATGTAAGCTATATTTACTTCAGAGGGTCACAGTCAAAAATGTATGAAAACTACTTTACTTTGTTTTTTTCCTGCATGACACAGAAATTCATTCCAGGAGTGGGGTAGATGCCAAAATATGAAGGTGGCTAAGGTGAAAAAAACTGGTTCCAGGAGCAAGGCGCACGAAGAGGAAGATTCCAGAACATGCATGGCCATGCTAAATTAAGGCAGGCTACAGGGACAACACACATCTGGGTTAAGAGAGCCCCTTTCTTCCTACTGTTGACAAAACAAGCCTGCTGGGGACCAATCACATATACCTCTTGACCGATGGAAAAGCTATATTCACTGTCACACCCCTCCACACACACACACACACAAAGGCAGATTAACATGAAATCTAGCAGAGACAGCAATGGGAGAAAAGAACAGAGAATTGAAGGAAGACTAATCCCCATCTCAGCACCTCCCACTATGTACTCTCCTTGACAAACAGAAGGCATAACTTCCCCACTAAGTATTATCCTAAAAAATACAGCCTCAGACCAGGGGACAGATTGCCTGCCTCCTAAGGCCACCAAGAGCCCCAGACAGAGGAACCTAAGAACTCCAAGAACTAGGCAGACCTGAGAGTCCAGAGATGAGCAGTACTCAGAGGCCTACTGCTAAGGGACAGAAATTGCACAAGTAAGGCCCAAATTTAACAACTCTGATTACTTTGTCCCCTTTGTCTAAATAAGAAGTTTTCGGCTCGGCGCCTATAGCTCAACCGGCTAAGGCGCCAGCCATGTACACCTAGGGTGGCAGGTTCAAATTCCCAGCCCGGACCCGCCAAACAACGATGACGGCTGCAACCAAAAAATAGCCGGGCGTTGTG